AGACTTGTTAGAACAACCTTGTAACATTCTTTTGACAATGGTAGTCAAGTTGTTATCATCTTGTACCAACAAGTCTGCTACAGTCTTGATATAACAATATTGTTACAACCTTGTGTCGTCAACCTTGTAACATTCTTGTTATATCATGACTGTATCAGACTTGTTAGAACAACCTTGTAACATTCTTGTTTTATCATGACTGTATCAGACTTGTTAGAACAACCTTGTAACAAGTCGGATAATGCCATCAAGCTTGTTACAAGTTGTTAACAGCTTGTTCCAAACTTGTTGCAACAACTGGGAACAAGCAGTGCGAACACAACTTGTCGACAGCTTGTGAACATATTTGTAACAACTTGTTTGCAGAACTGTAACAACTTGTGTGTTTTTACGTGTGTAGATCTTTGCCTACAGAGCATCTTTAATGTTCCACATTGCAAAAATACATTTCTTTTTTTACAGCACGACTCGTGTCCAATTTGTCGGCTAGGTTTAAATGGTAGGAGTAACATTGAAAACGAGTCAAATGAGCTTTAAATTTGCACGAGACTATAACCACGAAGCTCCATCACGCGCGAGACAAAAGACTGCAATTATTCAGAGCTCTGAGCCATATAATAAGACGCTGTAAATAGTGTGGAAAATACGTGTAATTTTGTGTGTAGAAAATGTTTTAATATTTTTTTTGTTAAGTGTAATTATAAACTATGGTAAGAATTGATAAATATACCTGGTTAAGATATACTCGTGTAAAAACTCGACGTTGTTCAAGAGGTATGGCAATAAAAATTTGGTAAGGCAATAGAAATTTTGAAAGAACTTTTAAAACTTTTACAGCTTCTTCAAATGTTGTTTAGTTCTCGAAATATTTTGACAAAAATCACCATGAATCAGTGAGCTGTTCGCCATCTTGGATTATTGAGGATATGTATGTTACCGGATATACACAATAATGATTAGCCCAAAATTATATTTCGGTCACTATTTCAAATTAGAAATTGACTGACAACATTTTAAACATATACTATATATAGCCAAACCCTGCTTTTGACGTCACCAAAACCACCGTCAATGAGATCAAAACTAATCCAAGATGGCGGACAGCCAATATTTGTTCAGTCAAAATATTTCAAAAACTAAGATACGAAAACTCGGTAAAGTAGTTTTATATACGATTTTAAAAGTTCTATCAGATGAGACAAACGTAATTTTTATTGACATCTCCCTTTAAAGTTAACAGTTTTTGGAATAGAATCCTTAAAGTTATGGAAAGACATTTCACACCATTTCAAAATGACTAGCAAGATATTTTTGCCAAAAACTATCTTAGCTTGGTTTTTTGAGATATTTAATGTTTGATTTGCGAATTATCCTCAGTATGACGTCAAAGTGCAAACTAAGCTTTCTGAAAAAAACCCTTTTATAACTCTTACAGGTAATCGATTCAAATTTCTCGACATACAGTATATATATTTGTAGTATGTTGACATTGCGCGATATCCCAAGATCTTGAAGTCTTCTCAGAAAATCATTATGCAATGTGACGTCATAGTGAGAATAATTTGCTTATCAAAAATTGTTAAATATCTCAAGAACAGAACAAGTTAACTTTTTTAGCTAAGATAGTTTGACAAAGAATCTTATTTGGTCGTATGAATTTTGTTTTAAATGTAATCATAAATGATGTGAAATTTCGTTACATTGGAAGGAATGCCATAAGTAGTTTTCAACACTTAAAATTAAAAATGTTCTGCCTTAAGGATACTATTCCTAAAACAAAATTGGTCGTGGCTGCCTCAACTATGTCAAGGTGACCGAATACGATATGTAACTGACAAAATCAAGATTGATATGTATTCTCACATTGCCATACTTTGTGGTTACAGCCTCGACAATAATTACTCTAAATTTAAAACTATTTTATATGCATTGTAATTACCCGAATGGCATTATTCTATAAAGTTTCGATTTAAATGCGCCGATAAGGCTTTATGTGATATAGCCCACTGACATGGATATAACTGGAACGCTACCTCCAACCGGAAATTGAAGCCAAACGTGAAGGCCAGTCCCAGTCTTTTCAAGCATGCGAAGAGCGTGGTCAATCCCCGTCAACATGAATATGCGTTCTTGAAAACCGGCTTAAGATTTCCAAGAAAGTTTTTTAACAGCGCTCAAGCTTTCTATTAATGGTTTTATTCTGGTAAAACTTTCTTGTAGATTTTACTTGTTTCTAATAATTGTTTATTGAAAGAGGATTTTTCTGCGATTTGGCTTCAATAAAATAGGCAATAGTTTATCTGAAGGTAGCATTCCAGTTATAATATATTCATTTCAATGATATAGCCATAATGAACAAAGTCAATGTTATTTCTATAAATTTATGATATTTGCAGTAACGGAGAAAAGTAGGTCGGAACCTACCAGACAGAACGGTAGGTTCCGAAGATACCACATATGAACAATTTGTTGTCATAATGAATCAATCGCAAAGCCCAGTCACATATGGGTTGGCCGACTCTGTTATTGTGGGCGCAGTTCAGTTGCATTGTGTTATATAGGGACCGGTCATTATTTATGGTGGGGGGTGGCACCGAAGAATTTTTTACTCAGCCTCAAATATCAATTAAAAAATATATACCCACCCCTGGCCAAAAACGGATACTGTTCAGTTGACACACACGTCCCCTACCACTCTTGTGACACGAGTTTGATAACTGCTTGTGCAATCTACTTTCTTTGGAGACACCATTTGCCTCCTGACAAATCAGAAAATGATGAAGATAGTGACTGATTGATGTTGACACACGACAATTGACATTGCTTTTTAGTTTTCAATATTTGAGTGCGTCGTGCTTTGGAAATGACAATATACTTTTATTACCCAACCCTTGAGATGTTTTGTTTTTCATTTATCCAACCTTTTATTCACTCAAAATTTGTTTACCCAACCCTTTTCTCTTCGGTGCCACTCCCCGCCTTAAATAATGGCCGGGATTTTGACGCTATAATATTTTAGTAGTTTAGCTAAGCATCTACACCGTATGTTCACCGCAGTTCTGTAGGTTATTCTTGAGCGGTACTGTACGAAGCTGCTTCCCCTTATTATACTTACCGAACACAATCACAATGAAGGGCGTCCCGAAAAATGCAGTAACTGTGTTTCAGATTATTTAATCCAATTTATATGCACTACACAACTTTTGCCTAAAACTGTCGCATGCAACCGGCTGTGTGCTTGATTTACACAGTACAACTCAAGTTGTAAGTGGGTTGCATGCGACAGTTTTAGGCAAAAGATCATAGTTGCATTGGATATTCGAAAAGCGTTCTGGTAGTTGTGTTCTGTAAACGTAATATGGGATATAAAATAGACACTCCCCGAATTTGCGTGAGTGTTCGCGAAACAATAGCTTGAAATCGAGGCGGATAATATAATCCATTGTAAATAAGTAGTTTTCTCATCGCTAGCCAGCAAATTCGGTGATTGTTTATCATTTTATTAAGTTTAACCCATTGAGTGGCAGCACTCTCCCAGCTTGACGAGTAAATCGTCTGGCGTTAGAATGAGTAAAAGTATCTGCCACTTAAAGGGTTAAGTTTTAAAACAAGGCAGTGACAACTGTCAAAAATATAAATTGCAAATAATTTGGTATAGCGCGAACGCTGAAGTTAACCTTCCTATTTGTAGTTTGTAAACGAATAACAATAATTATTCAAGCAGAAAAAATTACTGTACATGTGTGTGTATTTTTTATTTCGAATCAAACTAAATTGTTCGAAAATTAAAATACTATTGTAGTTTTACTATGGCCTATGGGGGATGACTTCAAGCATGTGATATTTTTTTCTGAGAATTTTTCTCGAATTATTTTTCTAGTCGATGATTCTTGTAATTAGAACTTTCAACTCATTCGAGACCCCACCAAAACCCCAATCACGTTTTCTTTAACTAAAAATGTCAATTTCCATTTAATAAATTTCAACATTCTGTCATTCTCTACTATTCCCTAACAAAACAAGTAAGATTAAAAGTGTTATTATTTACAAGACACATTTACAAGACTTCATTTAAGCACAGCACCATCCAGTGCTAGTTTTCAAGTCAGTGAGACATATAGACAGACCTGGGAAAAAGTGAGATCTTGAGAAACTGCTTTAGCAAGAAAACTGGGGTTTTCAATTTTCCACATGCGTTGTGGGAGAATGTTAAGCAATCATATCATACTTCATCTATCATTTGAGATTGTGAAATGTTGTTCAATGTTCAAATTTGGCGTAAATATATACGAATTTTCCATTGTTTTTACGCGCACTTGATGAACACTTGAAAAAGGGGAACATTACTAAACACTTTTTCCAGATCTGCAATCAGTGAACTATGTCGCAGACAGCGAGTATGAATCGGATTAGCCTTGGTTTGGGATCTTAAAAACGGTTGATAACCAAATTCGCATCCGATGGTCATGACTACAAAAAGTACCTGACTTTTGGAAATGTTTAAGATTGAGAGAAAAAATGGACAGTCCAATACCTGTCGGAGTAAATCAGAAAATTAACTTAAATATTTTGTAGCCCTGCCGATTATAATCCGAGGGTTACTATTCTAATGTTACCAATAGACAACTTGCACGTTAGACTAATTTTTGACCTAGGCAAAAAAAAAGTAAATCGTTAGACTAATTTTTGACCTAGGCAAAAAAGAAGTAAATTCCCGTAAAGAACTTATTAAAATTAGTAAAATTGCAAAATTTGGTTACGAAATGTTGTAAAATACGGAAAATATAGCCTTGCAAAGTTTGCATATTTTGTATATGTTTGTATTACGTGCGGAAATTGTTACCATTTTTGAGCCGAAAATGGTAACCAAATTTTGCAATTTTACTAATTTCATTATGTTCTTTTTAGCTGTGGTGTTTGATTCCCTTCTCTTTATTACTTCGATTAAAATTTAGTCTAACATGCAAGTTGTCCATTCAATCCGACTGTAGCCATTTATCTGATCCGATCAGTTTGATTTACCGCTCCAGATTTGTTAATAAGATGTTCAGATTTCACTTCCACTTAGGAACTATTAACCAATCAGATGCTTTTGATATATCCCATTAACCAATCAGGGGCCAGTTGTTCGAAAGTTGATTACCTTAACCCTGGGTTAACCTAACATTCAAAGCAAACTTCCCAACAGCTTGTTTATAAATTTAGAAGTATTTCATTAGAAATCTTGTCTGGATCGATATCAGCAGGAGTTTTCTTCTCTGAAGTTTTGAAATAAACAAGACGTGCAGAAATACACAAACTAAAACAGCGGGTTAACTTTTGGCGCTAATCCTGCTTTGAACAACCGGCCCCAGATGGGTACCGAGCCAGTGAGAGGTAGTTGTAGCGATGGTGGAAGTCCAATCTGAGTCTCTCTAATATCAATACAATCTCGTACCAGAGTATGCCCGTTCGCAGGTGAGGTGCCGGGCATGGCCAGCACCTAACCTGCGAACGGGCATACTCTGGGTACGAGATTGATATCAATATTGTCTAATCACAAAACTATTATCCCAGTCTTACTGGGGGGGGGGGTGATGTCCATAGAAGTAACTTCTGTATTTTCAACTGTTGACTTTTGAGCTATCTCGTGTGTTCTCACTTCATTTATCTTCTCAGAACTAACTTTCACATTCGTAAACGATGCAATTATTGGCGATTTGAGAGGCACAGGAGAAGGCGACTTCTCTTTAGAATTCGCAGTCACCAAACCATTCATAGGTAAAGGAATGTTTTCCAGTTTATAAAAAGCGAGGATACTCGAGTGCACATACCAGCGAGGTTTGGGCATCAAGGATCGCAATTCTTTGTTTGCAATGCTTGTGATTTTCTTCTCTACTTGACGTTTCGATATAGTGCAATGAGATTCCCAGTTTTCTTCAGAGACTTGGCCATCTTCTGTCTTCGTTGCAAGAGTCCACCGTTTTCGAAATAGACGTAGGAGTTTTTGAAGTCCAGCCTCGCTGCCGTGGATCATTTTGATCAAAAATGGCATGGCTGCATAAAAACATTGATAATAATAGATTGAGGTTTTCTGGTAGAAAGTGTCGGACCAAGGAAAATTTTCCCTGAAAATATTTCCCCAAGAAAAAGGGAAATTGTAAATTCTAATTCTTAGGATCAGATTCTTGATGCACGTTATCTAAATTAGTTTTATGTTACATTCCTAAAAGTATTATTAAGATTACTGAAATACATCGTTTCCAGTAAAATATAGCATGACATCCAGTTTGACAACTTGTTAGTGTCACACAGTTACAGTGCCCGAGTGTTGATTTACTTGATTATTTGTAGAAAAGTTTCAATGCTCTCGTGCGGTTCTCTGGCACCCCTTATATAAAAAAGTAGGATAAAAAAAGGAGTAGAATTTTGGGAAAAGTAGGACTAGAAAAGGAAAAGTAGGAAAATATGCAGAAAAGTGGACAAAAGCAGGAATCTTTGGAGATGCAAATAATACAAAAATATAATGTAAGCTTACTATAAACGATGTTTACAAAATTGGTCACCTTTCCTGCAGTCAACCTTACTCTAGCCGGTAGGATATAATTTATGTAGTCATTATAGGTTGTTCAAATAAATCAAATATAGAAGTATTGTACTAAAACGTCATTGCATAATCTTGCATAATATATTCTTTACGTCATTGCATAATATATTCTTTACGAAATTATCATCACGTTGATAAACAAAAAGTTAAGACAATCACGTAATGATTCCCCAAGACGTCTAAAAAGTAGGATTTTATGAGAAAAAGTAGGAAAATCAAGCAATTTTTTAATAAGACGGGAAAAGTAGGAAAGTCGACGAAAAATAGGAGAAGTACGACGGGAAGAGAGCCTGTAGATTTTCGTCATTTTTTCACGGATTGTGGTAACAGGGAGAAGAGAAATGCATTCATCAACAAGTGCCATTTCTTGAATAAAGTGTTTTTTGATACAAAATAGTGTAAAATGTAACTTAAGGTCTTTCAAGTTTTATTAGCTTCCCTTTATTTGCTGCAGGCACGGTTTTTGTTAAACAAACAAAAGATCAAAGATTATGGATAGCCCCCTTACTAGAACTGTAAGGAGAAATGTTCAGAACTGACGGAGCTGATACAGGTTATAGACAATGTTGATTTAGACTCAAAATCTGCATATCTCTGGTATGAGCAGATGAAACATTGATGTTCAATGAAACAGATGAACAATGAGCAGATGAAAAATTGATGTTGATTACGGAAATAACACAGTAAGAGTAACCGTGGATGGATAAGATCTGGCAGGAGAGGAGAGTGCTCATTGAGCTTTTGTCATGGTCAGCAACAAGGCACTAGTCTGTAGTCTTGTTTGATAATTTTACAATCATCAATCTTATTTTCTCTCTGTTTTTGTTTTTCAGTGTTGCCTGGTAAGGTATGCGTCTAACACGACTGTATGCACGCACCTTGTGTAAGGCGCCGTTTTCTGGTAGAAGAACGATTAAATTAAAGGACATGCATGTTAAGTTTATGATGGTATAGATTGCTTGCTTTTGGTCTGGACAATAATAACACTACATGAAGCCGACGTGTCACTGACTCATGCTTCAGTAGGTGCGCGGAAAACAGCGTCTTGAATCACTGAGGAGCGGTATTTTTCAAGCACCTTTGTTTTCGAAATGGCAAAGGCCTCATGGTTTTTGTAATTGCCTGTTTTTGTAATGGATTTAATTAAAGAGGAAATTGGCACCCCTTTGCCGAGGCTAAGAGGACAAACTACGCCCCTTTTCCAAGGTTAGGATGGGAACCCCTGCTGCCCCCTTCACCGGGGCTGGGAGGGGTGCACATCCAGTAAATCCATCCACTTACCTTCTTCTGGTACAGGCATAGCTGTATTACAATGCGATGTTGTACTCGGACTTGGGGTAATATGTTCTTGATATTCTTTCTTCATGTACGTAGGATCAATACTTCCTTCAGCAAGCAAACAACATGCTTCTAGTTGTTTCAAAATGGCCGGCATCTGACCATCCCAGATACATCCGATTGCGATCGGTTTCATGGGTTTAAACTGCCTCTTCAACTCAGCTTCCCATGTCTTTTGTTTCGCAAGATGCCTTTCCATTTTGTCTTCAGGATTATTCTACAAGCGAATTATGCATGACATATGTTTCTATACAATATATAGGAAATCTTTTAAATTTTTGATTAGCTAAGGGGCTATTCATCTGATCCCGCTTTGCCAGGACGAGATGTGAGGTGGGATAATTTTTATGTATTGAAATAAATTACGGTGGATGATTTAGCAAAACAAACGGTTGCTGAAGGTATACGAGATTTTTCCAACGGTTGACAACGAGCACGAGACTTTTCCAGCCAAAAATATAACCATTAGCCAACGGTCTGCTGAGTTTGTACTCGTTCTGTTTGGTACGAACGGCAACGGGCGTTTAAAACTAAAAAAACATCCAAAACTATACATTTTCTTTAAAAAAACAAAGCGTCTAAAACAAACGAATTTACTGTCGTTCCAATTGAAGTGTTGCTCAAATATTGATTCAATACATTACCTCGGGCTGACCAATTCATTTCATCAAGTTCCTCGAGATATTCATACTCTTCCTAGTATAATTGTAAACTTCCTGTTGAATAGTTTGAATGCACTAATCACCTTTTTTGTTTGTGCAACTAACCAATCATAAATAGAAAGGAAGTGACCAGAAATGATCAAATACTTGGAATTGGCTCTTTCACAGGAAGTGTATGAATATCTCGAGGAACTTGATGAAATGAATTGGTCAGCCTGGGGTAATGTATTGAATCAATATTTGAGCAACACTTCAATTGGAACGACAGTAATTACATTTTAGAACATGTAATTGTAATCAGGAATTTATTACATTTTAAAGCAAGTAATTGGAATTGGAATTAATTCCTTTTTAGTGGTAATTTTGCAGCCTTGGTTGTTTGACGGTGATAAGATCCATGTACTGTGGAGAGTTACCATGAATAGCTCTAAAAGTCAATAGCAGTATACAAATAATAGAAGGCAGTTGAGCATGTTCGTGTAATATGAGCATCCATAGATAGATTCCTATCCAACCACACGGCCAAGTTCTTAATAGGATGTCAACAGTGCCGATCGATATACAATTGAGATTCACTTTCTCTAACTCTAATCCTATTATAAGAAACTCCGTCTTGTCATCATTCATTAAAAGTTTATCCTTGGACATCCGGTTCTTAATATCGTTCACATATAATTCCATGCTCTTGGCAGCTTGCACATCTCCATGCTCCTTACTAGGATTGAAGGAGAGATACAACTCACTATCATCAGCAAAACAGTGAACATTTGGAAGATGATTTTTGATGACATAAAGTTCACTAGCATAAATGGTAAAAAGGAGGGGTCCAAGACATGAGCCCTGTGGAACCCCCCAACTTAGATCAAACTTCTCAGAAACTGCTCCATGCACAGCATCTCGTTGTGATCTACCTTTCAGGTAAGAACCGAACCACTTCAAAACAACACCTTCGATACCAAGTTTAGTTGACATACGATCAAGCAAAATGTCCTGATCTGTGGTATCCAAAGCGGCACTAAGATCCAGTACCTGCAACAGAAGCGTTACGTGTTGCTTGTTCATATTAAGCAAAATGTCATTAGTGATTTTGAGTAGCGCGGTCTCGGTGCTGTGATTCTTTCTATATGCTGACTGCAGAGGAAACAAATTATTAACAGTCGTGTGACAATGAGTTTGATTAGAAGCAGCCTTCTCCGTGAGTTTTGAACAGTAGACACTGGTCTTAGATTTTGAAAAGTAAAGTCAGCTCCTACTTTTTTTCAGCAATGGAGAAAGTAAAGCTTCTTTCCAGTCATCAGGAAAGTGACCACTTTGCAGAGAAGCATTAAATCATAACCACTTGGTGGGCCTCTATACTAGATGAATAATATAGAAGATGGATTATGCGTCCAAACGCATGATGCGTTAGACCGCCATTGTTGCTATATCTTCATTTGCAAAGTTATAAATTTGTAAAATGTCATCAGCGAGCAAAAAGCTGCTGCAACACAACTGCATGAATTACATTTTTAGGGAAGGAATTTCATAGCTCACGGAATTTGCCGACCCTTAAACGAGGTCAAGTGACCCCGTTTTATTTTCACTTTGAACGTTTGCTATAAATCAATTCATGTGTGTCAGCATTTTACATGCAAAGACACGTCGTCTCGCTTCAAACCTCTGTTTTAAAGCTCTGTATTTAAACCTTCAATTAGCTTCATCAATCCCTGATCATGGCTTCACGATATCACGACGATTGGCAATCAAGTAAGAAAACAGTCTTGCAAAGAAACGCGTATATGTTTGATAACGAATTGATGAGCGATGTATCTTTCACTTGTGGGGAATCAAGTCGTATATTTCATGCACACAAATACGTGCTTGCCACGAGCAGTGCTGTGTTTTTTGCCATGTTTTACGGGAATTTAGCCGAGAAAGAATCTCCCATTTGTATCCCAGACGAGGAAGAAGAAAGCTTCGAAGAGTTTCTGCGATTTCTGTACACTGACGCTTGTAAAATAACTGCTGAGAACGCGATAGTTGTTATACATTTGGCTAAGAAGTATCTCGTTTCGTCTTTGGCGGAGAAGTGTCGTGAGATTCTGGAGGCGAGCATCAAGCCTGATAATGCCTTCGCGGTGTTGAAGCAAGCGGTGCAATTTGATGAAAAAGAGTTAGAAGAAAAATGTTGGAATATTGTTTCGGAGAAACCTCTGGAATGCATCAACTCGGAAGCGTTCTGTGAAGTCGGATCATGTACGCTCAATGCTTTTTTAAAGAAGGAGACGTTCTCGATAACAGAAATGGAATTGTTCAAAGCAATATTGAAATGGACCGATAAGGAATGTGATAGACAGGGCTTAAATATCGAACAAGACAAAACGGCAAGAAGACGCATTCTAGGAGATAGTGTTTATGAAATTCGTTTCCTTGCAATGCCTCTGGAAGACTTTGTAAAATATGTCTCCCCCACTGGAATACTTACAGACACAGAAATTGTGTCCATTTTGCAAAAGCTTTGCAAATTAGACGTGGCAGGCTTGAAATGGAAAGAACATAAAAAGAGGCAACCATGTATACCCCTAATCAGTTTCAGCAGATTTGGCTCTGCCGATGTTACAGGCAGCGGTTGGAGTTGCCACGGAGAATCCGATGGTCTTGCTCTGGTTGTCAATAAAGCTGTTCTCTTTCACGGTGTTCGCTTGTTTGGTTTCAATGGCGGCCAATACAAAGTCAATTTTACAATCAAGGATAAGAATGTAACAGGGACCTACACTTCAGAACAAGACAGTGACGGCGTGCCGGGTTATGACGTCATGTTACCCAATCCAATTCCTCTACTGCCAAATAAAGAGATCACAATAATTGCGACAATAATAGGACCAAATTCTTACAGTGGTACCAATGGAAAATCATCAGTGAAAATCGATGACATTGTTATAACTTTTAAAATCGCACCTTCTGGCTTAAGTTCCAATAGCACGGGCAAATCCTCTGGTCAGTTTTACAAAATTTTTCTTTCTAAGCTGAAGTTTTGAGAATATTTTGTGACTTGATATAAATTAATTTAATTGCATGGCTAGTATTATAATTTATACTGTATGAGTCATACAATATATAATACTGTAGTTATTTATGATGCAATAATATCGAAATGTTTGGGCATCTCCTTCGATAGGACGAATAGTATATAGATGGCTATTTGGGAAATTAAATTTTTGAACGCAAATTTATATCCATTTTTAGACGTAACCAGCAATTGCTGCTGGTCAGATCTAAACATGTCTATAAAAATTTGCTTTCGAAAATTCCATCTACAAAAAACCCATCTGCTGTACGAGATAATGCCCAATATATTGATGGCTATCATTTGTCATATTTAGGTCAATCAAATGATTTTCTTTGTAGTATTAATATGAATACTGGGTTGTTGTGCAAATCAGCCAATTCGTAAAGGCGCCTATAGCAAGCCCTTTTTTAGTATACAAGCTGAGGGGGGCATTTGCCCCCCCCCCCCCAGGCCCCTTTTTGCCCCCTACCCATTAGTCAATATTCCGCCCAGTCCCTTTTCTCTAAAATACCGTAAACCTCCGAATGTAAGCCCCCCGAATATAAGCCCACCCAAATATAAGCCCACTTGTTTATCACTATTGTTTATCACTATTGTTTATCACTATTGTTTATCACTATTAATCACTATTATTATTATGCTTAAACTTGTTTATCACTATTACACTAACACAAAAGATCGTCCATGTATAAATCCCCCCCCCCCCCCCCCCGTATATAAGCCCACCCTTGTATAAGCCCATGAAAAATCGCTTACGAAAGAATATAAGCCCAGGGCTTATAGTCGGAGGTTTACGGTATAAGCAAAACATTGGAAGAAAAATAGAATTTAGAGCCGATCGAGGTTAGATATTCTAGTAACTGAAAATTGCTTTGTGAATCTTATGTAATGTCTTTTATCTTCGTCTTTTAAAAACTGCCAGTGGGTAGCATATCCCAGACCCTATAGATTTGAGATGTTGGAAGGTTAGGCTAAACAAGTTAGTGACCGAGTTGTGCCTTACATAAACGTACCATGCAAGTACTTAACTGAAGATTCAGTCTATGTACAGTATAATGCAACGCTGTATGTCCAAACTGAATCTGTTTCAGAAAACACACGAAGCATACGACTTTTTTTCACCAACACCATCAGTCATCTCTCCATACTCAGTACAGTATGGTCCCTTTCTGTAGATTGTCCCCCCCCCCTGACGAATTCTTTAAAAAAAACCTGGCCTATAGTGGACTTAGACCGCTATTGTTTGTTATCATAATGGCTTCGATAAGGGAACTTGGTCGACTACGTTAGAGTACGAATTCTTTAGTTTGGAGACTTTCATTTTTAATGTTCAAATTGCTATTTATTTCTATATACATGTAAAATCTTCTTCATGCAGAATACATCATATTTTCCAAAGAATTATACAATATTCTGCGTGCTACATTTAAAAATATTTAAACAACTGCAAGACTAGATAAAATGCTTGTTGTGGACTACCCCTTTTTCCAATTCTACGCTTTCGTAAACAAAAACGGTAGTACAGTATAATTAGCCATGTGAGTTTTCGAAAGCCAATTGAGAAGATCTGGACTGCGCGTCAAAATTGACGCGTTCTGCGTTGGAGTAAATCGCGGTTGAATCATAACATGGAAGCATTAAATATATGCATGTCAAAGTATTGAAATGTTTAATCATTATTTGTGTTTTATGGCCACAATAGAACTGTCAATAAATGTTTGTCCTAGCATATTTTGTCCTCTCTTCTCTCAAATATATATAAAGAAAGAAAATTTTCCCGCGAAAATAAAGAAAGGTACACTTGATCAGGGATTATATTTTCTAATTTTAAGCGAGTCAATCGTACGAAAACCAATTTCTTTTAAGCAACTTTTTTGCAAATTCAAATGACAATTGAAGAGTTGAATATTTTGATATTCATATTCGAATTCATCTGCAGCTACATGAATGTTATAGCTCAAAGATTTGGTTTCTTGCACTTCACTTGGTGGAATTAATATTAGAATGTCAGGGTTTGTAATCCAAGTGAGTATATATACATTTTAAGACCTGACCAGGAACGACTGGTATAGAGGACCTTGTGCTGCATTTTTCGCAGTCGTTCCTGGTCAGGTCTTAAAATGTATATATACTCACTTGGATTACAAACCCTGACATTGTAATGTTATAGTTCAACACATCAATCTATCTCGACGCAGAACGTGTCGTTTGGATGCGCAGTGGACACTCTGAATACCATTCTTGGATCAACATCGTACCCAGGGCTTCTGCGCAACGGCTCTGGGTATACGAGGTTGTACATTGATCATTCCCCTTATTACGTTTTCGTAGCGCTTTGCATTGTGGTTATAGTGGTATCACTGATAAAGATAGCGGCCTCGAATGAAAATATTGAATGTTTTCGCGAATATTTTGCTGTTGGCTATCGCGCACCTGACCCTAGCTTTTTTTAAAAGTTCTTGCACTGGTCAGGACAAAAAATAAGCCATCTTGAATATCAGTGATACCACTATAACCACAATGCAAAGCGCTGCGAAAACGTAATAAGGGGAATCTAGTATTGGATACCAACGTTATTAAACAAGCGCACTACATAGTGTCTAAAAAGTGAACCTTTAGAAATTGCCTTATTAGAGACGGACAAGTGGTCCCTCTTTTAATCGTAATCACAGACGGACAATTAAGTAGTCGAACAACTTCAGATGACTAGTTGTTCGTCTAAAATTTTGTCCGACACGTTTTCACATCTGATGATTTGTCCGACTAAGAGACGATTTTAAGACGATTTGTTCGTCTAAACAAAAACGACTTGTCCGTCTTTTAATGTGACAACGGCTAATTGCTGTTTTCGAATTTAATTCGTTGAAGGCCATTACATAAAGTAACGGAGTGTCAACTTAGCTACCACGATAATCGTCTTTCCATTCACAGTTGAGCACCTACACGCGTAAAAATCTCATTTGCCAACGAAGATGTGTTCGCACTGCTTGTTCCCAGTTGTTGACAAGTCTGGAACAAGTTGTTATCATCTTGTAACAAGGTTAACGAGGCCAACAGACTCGCAACAAGTTGTTCCAACAAGTCTGATATCGTCTGCCCGCATGAGTTGTTAACAGGTTGATGACAACACTGAAGTTCGTACCAACTTGTCACGAACAGCCTGTATATATGATAGGCTTGTAGCTTGTTGGAACAACTAGTAGCAAGCCTGTTGCCGTCACCAAGAATAACAAATTTGATAACAACTTGTTCCAGACTTGTCAGGTAGTGACTCGCTTCATTCTATCTTCATCTCCTATGGGCTATGGCCTACTGGATACACGTATCCTGGATAACACCGCCAAGACGTAGTCTGCGATAGCAGACTGATCTCAGCCAACCCCCTCCTAGAGCGGCGGAGAAACAGTTTGCGATCAATCAACACTAATGCCGTAGGGGTATGACTAAAGGGAGAGTTACCAACCGGAGAGTTATCTCGGAGAGTTATGATTTCGGATAGTTATGTTCAAACCACGCCCACTTTCCCCAACGACCACACCCAATTTCTTAACTCTCCCGATGTTTCCTTGAACTAACATGAGAGAGTTATGTTTGACGTAACTCTCTCTCTCGTTAACATTATGAAGATGTTAGAGAGTTATCATTTTTTCTCCGCGTTTACGATTGTGGCAATGAAGAGAGTTATGTCAGTTTTTTTGAGAAAACTTTAGTAAAGACTGTTTCTTCAGATTTTCATCTTATATTTTGGTATTTCAGTTTGTAGCGTGTCAATAGCGGGCGTCCAAACAGGAAATACAACTTGACTCGGTCAAAACAATGAGTTGCTTGCATCAGAAGGGTCAAAGACCCAATGCTTTGGCGTGTATTTGGCAGTAAATATGGTAAGCATAGTTGCAAGAAAATTAAGAAAATTGAATCTTTCAGCAATTCACTGGTTTTGGAAGTACTTTCCCAGATCCGCCAATAGGGCATTACATTGGAAAGGTTTTCTGGTTCTATCTAATACGACAGCTGTTCTGAATGCTGGGCTTGGTAGATAATTCAAGTGAGCATGTATATAAACATTTACATATATAGATGAACTTGGTAAGTACTAAAGTACTATTAGTTTCTACTAACGTGAAATGTTAAAGGCTTAAAGCTCGACACTTGAGAATAAAGTAAATTTACAAAAATGTACTAATATGTGGAAGTTTTTTTTTCAAACTAAACTGACATAACTCTCTTCATTGCCACAATCATGAACGCGGAGAGTTATAAAAAATGATAACTCTCTAACATCTTCATAATGTTAAGGAGAGACAGTTACGTACTGTTTAATAACCGAGCAGGAGTGTTTTATTAGGTTTAAAGCTACGAGCGCGCAGCGCGAGTGGCTTTAGACCTAACAAGACGCCTGCTCAGGCGTTCACACTGGCCTGAAAATAACGAGATACGTGCTATGGTGCAAAAGGCAGGAATACAAATCTTAAACCGCAAGCAAATTTTATGGACTTTTTAAAAAAATAAAAGACCTTTTCGGGAGACGTAATGGAGTTCGATGCACGTGCAAATCATGCCGACCTACAGAATCGATTTCCGGTTTTTCCTAACAGCGCGTTGTTTCATGTGCGTTCCATGGGCCGCGCTAAAAATATAAATATTCTGTAAACACCGAAATAAAAGATGAGAATCTCAAGACACAAACTTGAAAATAACACTATAAATAATGTTTTCGATTCTGGTTCCAATAACATTATCACGAAAAAGATATGTCCAAAGGGGCCGAAGTTATGTTCGGCAAAATGTATGGCTAGTTTACATTGTTGTATTATGAAATATGATACCATACTTGTATTAAAATTCGCGTCGAACTAATGTTATTGTAAATGAGTAGACTTGGCACAAGTCGACCTCGAACGAAATGCGTTTCTTCGAGGTCGACTTGTGGCAAGTCTAGCAAATGAGAACCATACAAATTATACAATAATGGTTCTAGTTCTTGTTGGTATTTGAACGCACGCTTTATCTTTCAGTATAGCTACCACAAAGCTTTTCGTGCGGATTATATTTCGTGGAGTACTAAATATTATATTTTGTGGTTTTCGAGTCATTACACAAAGAAAAACACATTAATTCAACACGCAAGAAAGTCCAGAGTACGACACAACTTAAAATACATAGGACCAGGCACAATTCTTTGAAAATTCAACGAAACTGTGTAAAATATAGTTTGATCACTCTGTGAAAAGCCGCCATTGCAGTTCGGAATTGTGCGCGTGCGTACAAGTGTATAGGCTAATAAACAAAAAATGTACCACAAGCATGGCATGAGTCGGCTAGTACGTACATAAATATGTAACTTGTTGCTATTGTATTTGAATCATGGAACGGAGGGAATCGATGGCATTTTGGCTTAATCGTTGCACCTTGAGCCTGCGATGCGCTAACGCAAACTCGATTTCTCGACTACGAAAAAAACAGAAAAAGAGGGATTTAAGACACTTGGCCTACAGGCCAGTGTAATAAAACACGACCTGCGAGTTTATTAAACGGCTTAGTCAAACACGACTACAAATTCAATAGATTTACTGCCTTATTAGTATTCTTTATATAGAAAGTACTAATGAGGACACGACTACAATAGATATACTGCCTTATTAGTATTCTTTATATAAAGGGTATACTAACTAGGAGTGTTTTATCAGGTTTAAAGCCACTGCACGTGACATATTATGGTTGACATGATTTGCCAATAAGTTTATGAATTACTAATGAGTGTTTGAAGTCAAACTTCGAAAAAATTAAAAATAACTCCGGGCGAAAAGCTTTGTCATGTGGTAGCTATACTAAAGATAAAGCGTGCGTTCAAAATACCAACAAGAACTAGAACCATTATTGACATGTATGGTTCTCATTTGCTAGACTTGCCACAAGTAGACCTCGAAGAAACGAACGCATTTCGTTCGATGTTGACTTGTGGCAAGTCTACTCATTTGCCTAAATTACAATAACATTTAGTTCGACGCGAATTTTAATACAAGTATGGTATCATATTTCATAATATAACAGACAATGTAAACTAGCCATGGCTATACATTTTGCCGAACATAACTTCGGCCCCTTTGGACATATCTTTTTCGTAATAATATTACTGGAACCAGAATCGAAAACACTATTTATAGTGTTATTTTCAAGCTTGTGTCTTGGGATTTTCATCTTTTATTTCGGTATTTACAGAATATTTATATTTTTAGCGCGGCGATCAAAACAACGCGCTGTTTAGGAAATACCGGAAATCGATTCTGTAGGTCTGCATGATATTTTGAAAAATTCAAAATAAATATTCCTACTCTGTGCCATATTCAAACGAAACTTTGTACATGAAAGCGCTTGAATACAAGATGTATTTTACTCACATTGACTCTGAGCAAATTCTGAAGAGTTACTAAAGAATACTAAAGCAGGGTGCATTGCCTGTTAATGGATTACCAATGTCAGATGTGTTTGTTAACCCATTTACTGACAGTACTCTGCCACTAAGAAGTAAAATCGTCTGGCGTTACAATGTAAATTGGTCTGGCGTTAGCCAGAGTTAATACAAAAGTAGTGTACATTGTCAGCTAATAGGTTAATAGACCTTAATATCCACTTTTGACGCAATGGCTTCATTTTCATGTTGGCTATTTACTCGTATTCCGTGCACACAATTTAAGAATGAGTTTGTAAACGGGCTTAAATGATGGACGAGAAGGAAACATTGGGGATATAACCGAGAATTGTCTAGAAGTATAAATTTTTGCATTCAGTTAATACGCCATAAAGGCAGCACTTTCCTTGCGATAGTAACTTCTAGTAATGGATTTGCACCATTACGTCTCCCGCGAAAAGGTCTTTTATTTTTTTAAAAAGTCCATAAAATTTGCTTGCGGTTTAAGATTTGTATTCCTGCCTTTTGCACCATAGCACGTATCTGATTCTCGTCATTTTCAGGCCAGTGTGAACGCCTGAGCAGGCGTCTTGTTTGTTATAAATCAATTCATGTGTATCCAATGTTTACTTCCGCATTTTACATGCAAACTGCAAAGACACGTCGTCTCGCTTCAAACTTCAGTTTTACATCTCAGTCTGTATTTAAACCTTCAATCAGCTTTAAATATCACTCCATGATCATGGCTTCACGATATGACGATTGGCAATCAAGTAAGAAAACAGTCTTACAAAGAAACGCGTATATGTTTGATAACGAATTGATGAGCGATGTATCTTTCACGTGTGGGGAATCAAGTCGCATATTTCATGCACACAAATACGTGCTTGCTACGAGCAGTGCTATGTTTTTTGCCATGTTTTACGGGAATTTAGCCGAGAGAGAATCTCCCATTTGTATCCCAGACGCGGAAGAAGCAAGCTTCGAAGAGTTTCTGCGATTTCTGTACACTGACGCTTGTAAAATAACCGCCGAGAACGCGATAGTTGTTATGTATTTGGCTAAGAAGTATCTCGTTTCGTCTTTGGCGGAGAAGTGTTGCGAGATTCTAGAGGACGGCATCAAGCCTGATAATGCCTTCGCGGTGTTGAAGCAAGCGGTGCAATTTGATGAAAAAGAGTTAGAAGAAAAGTGTTGAGAAAACTCTGGAATGCATCAACTCGGAAGCATTCTGTAGTATCGGATCATCTACGCTCAATGCTTTTTTAAAGAAAGAGACGTTCTCAATAACAGAAATGGAATTGTTCAAAGCAATTGTGAAATGGGCCGATAGGGAATGTGCAAGACAGAGTATAAATATCGAACATGATAAAACGGCAAGAAGACGCATCCTAGGAGATAGTGTTTATGAAATTCCTTTCCTTGCAATGTCTCTGGAAAACCTTGTAAAATATGTCTCCCCCACTGGAATACTTACAGACACAGAAGTTGTGTCCATTTCGCAAAAGCTCTGCGGATTAGACGTGGCAGGCTTGAAATGGAAGGAATATAAAAAGAGGCAACCATGTATCAGAGTCAGTTTCAGCAGATTTGACCCCGGCACTGTTATCAGCAGCGGTTGGCGTTACACTAGTGGAGGTTCCGATGCTCTTACTCTGGTTGTCAATAAAGCTGTTCTCTTTCACGGTGTTCGCTTGTTTGGTTCCAATGGCGGGCGATACGAAGTCAAATTTACGATTAAAGATAAGAATGTAACAGGGTCCTACACTTCAGAAGAAGAGAGTGACCTCGTGTTGGGTTATGACGTCATGTTACCCAATCCAATCCCTCTACTGCCAAATGAAGAGATCACAATAATTGCGACAATAACAGGACCAAAATCTTACTACGGTGACAGTGGAAAATCATCAGTGATAATCGATGACATTGTTGTAACTTTTAAAAACGCGCTTTCAGGCTTAAGTACCAATGGTACGCGTGCAACTGGTGGTCAGTTCTACAAAATTTTTCTTTCTGAGTTGAAGTTTTGAGAATATTTTGTGACTTGATATAAATTAATTTAAATGCACGGCAGTGGCGTAGGCAGACTTTCATTTTTGGGGGGCGAAGCAAACGCCAAGGACGTGAAACCGTCTAGGGGGGTCCGGAAAATTTTGAAATCTAGAGTCGCTGAAACGTGATTTCAAGCATTTTAGGGTTAAAATCTTGCAGAATACCGAAGATTATAAAGTACATCGAAGACATAAATTTTCCCAGGCATTTCTACTCGGAATTAAATAAATTGGAAAAGTTACCTTGAAAAACAGGAGGAGAGGTCAGTATCACATTATTTCCCCTCTGACTCTGTGATCAGATGCGGGAGAAAATCCCAATGTGATTTTGATCAGAAATATTGGATTTAAATTATTCTAGATTGTATGAGACAACATTTCCGCATTCTCAAAATTGCATTGCTTTTTTATATGATACAGAATAAGTCTGAGAAGAATATTCATGCAATGATAATGCATACATGTAAATATAAACTGCATCTATTCATCAAGTTCCTCCAGTATATCGTCGTTTTCCTCAGTCGAGACGTACTTAATCAGCTTCGAGCATATAATATGTACCCCCCCCCCCCTTCCCCCCAATTGGCTCTACGGATTTAGCCTTTTTCAGAGAATGGGTTTTGAAGCCACTGATGCATAGCTAGTGTCATATATACTGTAAGAATCATACAATATATAATATTATAGCCATTTATGATGCAATAATATCGAAATTTTTGGACATCTCGTTCCGATAGAACTAATAGTATAAATGGCTTTTTTGAAGATGAAATTTTTGAACGCAAATTTATATCCATTTTTAGACGTAACCAGCAACTGCTCCTGATCAGATCTAAACATGTCTAAAAAATTTTATTTTAATTATTTATTTTATTTTATTTTACAAGATTTGCCACACACCACTAAACAGTTACACAATATTACCCACCCACCCTGACGAATTCTTAAGAAAGACCCTGGCCCATAGTGGACTTAGACCACTATTCTTTGTTATCATGATGGCTTCGACAAGGGAACTTGGTCGACTACGTCAGAGTACGAATTCTTTAGTTTGGTGACTGGCTTTCATTTTTAATGTTCAAATTCCCATTTATTTCTAAAAACATGTAAAATCTTCTCCGTGCAGAATACATCATATTTTCCCAAAAATTATACAACACTCTGCGTGCTACATTTAAAAATATTTAGACAACTGCAAGACAGGATAAAATGCTTGTGGGCTTCCCCTTTTCCCAATTCTACGCTTTCGTAAACAAAAACAATCGCAGTAATTAAGCATGTGAGTTTTCGAAAGCTAATACACAATTCCAACTTTTAGTTTATGCGTGCAGGGGAGAGGATGGGAAGTAAGGTATCATATTGCTGATTATGCTGAAAAAATAAAAATGGTGGCCGTGTAAACACGGAGTGATAGCTTATACTTGTAAAAATTGAAATATTTCGGTTGTTCCGGCAGTATTTATTGAAAATTTTCAGCATAATCAGCAATATGATACCTTACTTCCCATCACCCCCTGCGCGCATTGTCTATTCAGAGATCTGGACTGCGCATCAAAATCAGTCATTCTGCTTTCGGCCGGTTAGGGTAAATTGCGGTTGAATCATAACATGGAAGCATTAAATATACGCATGTCAAAGTATTGTACTGTTCAATCATGCACTATTTGTGTTTTACCAATAATTACCATAGCCTATGAAGATGGCTGTGAAACTCATTAGAATAACAATATAACTCATTATCTATGTTAGTCAACGTTTATTCGTAAATATATGGTAGCTTTATTTTTTGCCAAATCCACCAATAGCAATTTAAAATTTCCCTATTGTTCGAGTCACGGATAGGTAACTTTCCTAAAACATTGCTATTGGTTAGTTGGGCAAGAATACAATACACACGTGACGGTGAAAGACCAGATTTATGAATAAACGTTGACTAACACAGATAATGAGTTCTATTGTTATTCTAATGAGTTTCACAGCCATCTATCTTTCATAGCCTTCGATAGGCTATGGTTTTACTTATAGCTACAATAGAACTGTCATTAAATAATTTTTGTCCTAGCATATTTTGTCTTCTCCTCCCAAGACCCTTTTCTCTAAAATATCACCAAAACAAACGAAAAATGAAATTTAGAGGCGAGGTTTGATATTCTAGTAACTGAAATTTGCTTTGTTTACGTTCTCAACACAACTTCAAAAACCAAGCATTATCATGTCTTTCAAGACCCAACGTTTCGTTCGATTACAATTCGACTGGCCTTTGTAATCATTTATTTAAACCAGAGTAGCGAGCGAAACATGATTAATATACCTGGTTGCAGTGAACGAACAAACTTTATAACATGAAAGCTTATTGCGACCCAAGAAGTGTTATTCAAAATCGTACTTTGTTTTAGCTTTATTTTGTTGTAGTTTACACAGTTGGCAACCTTTTTAAATGTATTTTGTCTTCTGTGCAAAGCAAAAATAAAGAAAGCTATACACTTCAGGGAATATATTTTCTAATTTAAAGCGAGTCAACAAATATATTTTCTTATTTAAAGCGAGTCAACCTTACGGAATCTAATTGCTTTTAAGCAACTTTTTGCAAATTCAAATGACGATTGAAGAGTTGAATATTTTGATATTCATATTCGAATTCATGTACAGCTACATGTTATAGTTCAACATTGCAATCTATCTCGACGCAGAACGCGTCATTTGGATGCGCAGTGGACACTCTGAATACCATTATTGGATCAATATCGTACCCAGGGCTTCTGCGCAAAGGCTCTGGGTACGAGGTTGTACATTGGATATCAACGTTATTAAACAACGGCTCTACAGGGTGTCTAAAAAATCTCATTTGCCAACAAAGATGCGTTCGCACTGCTTGTTCCCAGTTGTTGACAAGTCTGGAACAAGTTGTTATCATCTTGTAACAAGGTTGATGAGGCCAACAGACTCGCAACAAGTTGTTCCAACAAGTCTGATATCGTCTGCACGTATGAGTTGTTAACAAGTTGATGACAACACTGAAGTTCGTAGCAACTTGTCACGAACAGCCTGTATATATGATAGGCTTGTAGCTTGTTGGAACAACTCGTAGCAAGCCTGTTGCCGTCATCTGACCTTGTAACAAGGTTATAACAACTTGCTCCAGACTTGTCAGGTAGTGACTCGCTTCATTCTATCTTCATCTCCTATGGGCTATGGTCCACTGGATAGCCGTATCCTGGGTAACACCGCCAAGACGTAGTCTGCGATAGCAGACTGATCTCAGCCAACCCCTCCTGGAGCGGCGGAGAAACAGTCTGCGATCAATCCACACTAATGCCGTACAGTGACGTAAGCAGTATTTTGTATAAATATTCCGCTCCCCCGTTGTGCGGCCGGGGCAACAGTATGGCGGCATATTACCAGAGTATAATTAAAATTAAATCAATTTAAGTTAAGTACAACGACCCAGAAAATTCCACTAGTTATCTTTATAAACATCTTTATAAATATGCCTGTAGTGGACTTTATTGAGTCCTTGTACTTGAATATATTTATTAAATAAATAAATAAATATTGTTGCTATCTTCATTTGCAAAGTTACAAATTTGTAAAATATCATCAGCGAGCAAAAAGCTGCTGCATTAACACAAGTGCATGTTTTATGTTACTCTGAGTGTATATCCACACCGGGCAGGCTGAAAAGTTAGCCTGACCACGGTGGGAATCGAACCCGCGACCTTTGGGATACTAGTCCAATGCTCTGCCAACTGAGCTTACGAGTCTGTTCGAGTGAGTGTAACATCAAAACTGTCCAAGTCTGTTCGAGTGAGTGTAACATCAAAACATTATATTCAGCTGAGTACATAACACCAAAAAACACGCACAAAAATATCATATCATAGAATACATTAGTATCGAAGTTAGTAGTTCCGAAATACCACTCACTCCAACAGACTTGGCCTGATCGTAGCTCAGTTGGCAGAACATTGGACTAGTAGTATCCCAATTAGGGTCGCGGGT